TTGAACACAGAGTAGAGGAGCACAAGCCTACAAAATGTCAGCCCTGTATGTGTGATACTTACAGAGATATCGACCTGTGAAAACGGCCGTGAAACAATGACACGATTTTGGGCCCGTAAATGGACACATACTCCCCTCACTAAATGAGCTGTAACTTGAAAAGTAATGATAGAAAATCACAAAAAATTCACAGGGTTGGTACATGATAGTAAGGGACCACCTGGTCATTTTTTTCAAATTTTTAAAAAAACATGATGCGTGAGATTTTCTGGAAATTTGATGAAATGTCATGGAATGACCCTCTGGTGAAAGTGTATGAAGCTTAAAAACACAGTGGAGCGCTTCCTGTATTCCCACATGACATCACAAGGTGGAACCAAGCGTTTTCTGTTTGAGAGAAGAAGTCAGCCTAAATGTGCAGGTTTGTGTGTTAAACATGTGAATGAAACAAAACACAACTCCAGGTCTGTTTGTGATGAGGAAATGACATTATAAGATCAGAAAATAGTGTCATATGGGCTCTTCAATGGTTTTTACAGATAATAACAGTTCCTTTTTGTAATTTTCTTGTTGAGATTTGCAGATCTGAAGAATGTTCCCTCATGTTCCCAATGCAAATAGAAAAAAATAATTGAATGTGGTTCATTGGGTCGACCATTTCAAATAAAACAAGAAACAAAAGCAGCCATGTGTGATTTTATCTAGAGCCTTGATCATTTCACAGTGCAATGTGCAAAGATCTGATTTAATTACCTTCCTACGGCGGGTCAGTCTGAATATTTGTATAAAAAATTAAATGAGAAAAACAAAATAAACACATTATAATAATTAATTAATTGTAATAATAATTGTACAGAATGAGACAATTGTTTAGGGCTGCAACAGCTAAACAGATTCATAAACAGAAATATTGAAAAATGAAATCATGAATGAAATGTGGCCAGTCAAAAGCTTAGACACACCTCTCATTCAGTGTGAAACTATAGATTGTATGTAGCTAACCTGCTGTCCTTGCCTTTTCAAATAGGAAGTGAGCATGTGCGCACTTCCGGCTCCACTGACTCTGGCTCCAATTCACTTTCTACTAAAAACTATGGCCCCTCTCTCTGTAACTGCTGCTGTCAGTCTTGTTATTTTAGTCTTAAATGTTTCTATTAGTCCACTGTACATGATTCTGGGATTTTGACTTCACTATTTTGTTCATAAGACAAGATATGAACATTAATAACAATCAGGAGCCTTTTTTCCATGAGGTTGCGTCCGCTATCGCTATCAACAGGTTTGATAGACAGTGCTGCTCGGCACCCACTACCCTGCTAAACCAGACCTTCAACAGCCTCGCTCCGGATTGGCTCTTTGGTTGCTATGATACTCGCAGTTAGAATTCCAAATATGGAACTTTGCTTAAGACTCGCTCCTATAACTCTGGCCTCAATGAGCTTCATTTGGCTGGAGCTAAACACTGTGGGAGACGTCACACTCCCTTCACACTCACTTCTTTAAACAGTCTATGGATGAAACTATATATTTTTAAAATGTATTTACAGTGTTGGGAGAAACGCGTTATAAAAGTAACAAATTACTGTAATGCGTTGCTTTTTGCTGTAAGCTGGAGTTGTATTTAGTTTCATTCACACATGTTTGAGTAACTCTTTATTAGTCTGTCTACATCTCCATAGCTCAAACTGCTCTGTTCCACCGTGTGATGTCATGAAGTGGTAGTTTCCATGTTAACAGCTCCTCAATAGAGATTGCCAATTGCAGATGGAAGATGGAATTATCCAACTAATTCTACTGAGTTTAAAAACACAGTGGAGCACTTCCACATGACATCACCAGGTGGAACAGAGAGTTTTCAGTTTGAGAGAAGAACTGTCAGTGTGCAGGGTTTGTGTGTTAAACATGTGTGTATGAAACAAGCACAACTCCAGGTGTGTGTGTGATGAGGACACTACATTAGAACATAGATCAGAAGTAGAGTGATAATTTAATTCCTTTTGAGTTAATTGTCTCTGGATTTTCTGTTGATGACATAGGCAGAGGGATTTGGTTTTATAACACAGTGTATCCTGCATTTTTGTACTTTTCTTAATAAATTGCTAGTTGCAGCCCTGTTACCTTGGTTCCGATGGTGAATTCGTTTTCGTGGTGGCGGTTTACAAGGACTTTTTTCGGAAGATCACAGCAGTCGAAGTCTTCAGTTGTCTCTTTTGACTCCGCACCAGAAAAAGCTGAAAGAAAAAATAGACTGTGTCATTTAGAAAGAGAGATCATTTGGACAGGAGCATTTCCCAGCAGAGGGTGGCTTAAAGTAAACAGGTACTACATCTGTTCCGTTTGTAGTAATATTAAAGGGGGTAAATGATATAAAAGACTGGAATTAAGAGTTCGAAGTTACAGCAGGACTCAGGTGGCCTTTGTGAGGCTTTGGCTTAGACTAAAAGCAGAGTTTCAGGGCACCACTTAACAAATGTTGAGAAATATTACCAATCCAGTACAATCAATTATCTAAGTTAATTCATGAATAAATAATTAATTAATTAAACTATTGTTCTGAAGGTTCATAAATTCTTGTCCATATCAAATCCCATATCTGGAAATCACATCATTATTCACCAAAACAAACTGTAGTTGATGAATATTTATCGACCAAGTTAAACAGAAACATTTAAATATGAAATATGCAAATGAGTGTAGACTCCTCTAGACTGGGCTCTAAAGATCTGACAACAGGTAAAGCTTTAAGAGTTATCTAAGGTTAAGTGTTGAGTCCTTCCTAGTGACAAAGAAAATATCTTCTTATTGTGTGTTTGTGTCTTGAGTGGGTTTCCTCTGGGCACTGTTCTCCCCCATCAACCCAAAACATGCACAACAGGTCAAATGATCCAGCTAAGATAGTCCTGACCAAGACCAGCTCAAGATCTGGAGATGTGTCCCACTGCTCCTGAAGGGTTTAACCCAGAGACACTGAAGGACGGGTCAAATGCAGAGGACACATTTCCCTGTGGGGACAGTAAAGTGTATATTCACCTGAATCAGGATTGATGGATATGAAGACATGACATGTGGCCCAGCTGGACCTGGTTAGTACTTGGATGGGACAGAATACCAGGTGCCACCGGGGAAAAGAAGAGGCTCTAAAACTAACTGTTGTCGTGTCCTTAGGCAAGACCTCCATGTCTGGTTGAAGTACACTGATGTTTGAGTGAGAGTTTGTGCAGACAAGTGTTGGACAATGGAGAAAATGAAAGGGTTATGATCCGCTGTGTTTCCTAACACGGTTTATTTATTTATTTAGTGCAGCACTTGTATTTGTAAATTACTAGTTACCATACACTTGGGAAGTTCCAGACTCTTAAAAGTCATGCCTCAGGTGTAACTTTATTTGACTGTTGTAATAATAGTGCAAAACCAGGGTAAAACTTATATTAATGTCATTACTTAATAGTAATGACATTAATATTGGGCTGACAGTAAAGTTTCGGCCTGTTCACACACTTGGGCAGTCCCTGCAGATTTCATTTGGGGTTTACACTTGTTTCTATCAGAGATGAGCTCCAGTATGGTCGGGGTTGCTGGGTTTCAGATGACAACACATCATTCTATAGGTCAATCATATTTAATAAAGATGCTGACAGCTCAGATTAATAATGTTCTAATGAGTTGGTGTAAGTGAGTTCTTGGCTCTAGTCCCTCATAGAAATGATCAGGGTCAACATTTATGAATTTACCTTTTAGAGATTTCAAGGTAAAATGCATTGAAATCAAAACAGAAGCTGTCTTTCCCCCTGGTGAGAGTATGACATCATTACAGTGTAATTTGACTCTCACCACTAGGTCATGAGGCATCAAGCGGTAATATAAGGAACCGATATTAAAACTAACGCTGAACTACTTGGGAATTCCCCAGCCCTGATTGTTTTGGTTCTGCTGGTAATTCCAGGGAATTCCAGGGTGTAGTTTCACTCTCATTACTATCATTATGTCACTCGTTTGCAAATTAATTAAGAGATAAATAACAGGATAATGAATAAAGAGGGCACATCTGAGCCAAAGAGACGTTTTCTTGTAAGCAGGACTTTTTTATCTACTTCAAACTAAGATGAACATGACAGTAACTCAAAAGATTTGTGAAAAATGTTAACAGTAAACACATATTATATTTTGTATGCTTATATATGACAGCATTCCCTTGCATCATCTAAACAGTAAAGGACAAGACGACAGAGCCTGAACATACGACGCCAAATCTGCATCGACAACCAAACATACGAGTCAAAAAGGAGAAAATAATAACCTAAAACTTTTAAAACGTGTAAGAACAGATTTATACCTACCCGTAAACAACAACAACAAAGTCGGCAGAAACCGGTGAAAATCCATGATTACGCAGTTACGGTGGAGACGAACTCAAAACGTGATGGGAAGAGTGAAATGTGAAAAAGCCAGGACTGAAATGTTTCCTTGGAGCAGATGACTGGTTCCTCATAAACATCTGGTGCAAAATTCGGTCTTTTTTTAAAGAATGTAATAATTTTTTTGAATCGATCGCTTTGAGTGTCGAATAAGCAAAACAAACTACGGAGAGAAACGTGAAGTGCGCATGGATCAGTTTTGTTTGGCGTAATGAATGAGTCACGTGAGAGAGAACGCACCCGGAAGAACTTAAAGACAACGCGAGGAAAGATAAAAACGAGTGATATTCTGTGTCAAACAAAATGAGATAAAATAAGATAGATTAGTTAGATAGATAAATAATTAAATAGTTAGATAAATAGACGAGGAAACGAGTGAATAGTCACTAAAGTCACATTTTCTTTGTGTTTTCCGTAAATTTACCTCAACATGCTTCTCTTTCTTATTGGTAGGGATCAAACTGTTCAAAAATTGGAACACCTGAAATATTTCTTGTATAAAGCTGTCAGTTGTTTAGATAAATCTGATGAGAAACAAAGACAGCTCAGGACTGGGACTGTCCCCGGTAAAAAAAAAAAAAAAAAACCCGCGTGCGCCACCCCTCAGTCATAAGGCACTTTGTTTAGTTTCGATTCCACATATTCAGAATCGTCCTTTCTACTACTGAACACGCGGAGGCTACTGAAATCTGCCATGCATCCAGCAGACGGCATGATCCAAACCCTGGTTATTGTGTGTAAGTAGAATATAGACTAGTCCTGGTCTGTGTGTGCGCTTTAGTTTGGATTTAAAGTACTTTCTAATCGCTAATTGAAACTTTGTGTGTGTTTTTGTCTTTACAGGTTTGACCTTAACCCCAGTGACTCTAGCGTCCCCACCTTTTTCTGGAATAAGTCTGCAAATCCAAGCATCTGTGGACCAAAACGTGTCTTTGCCCTGCACTGCTCAGCCCAAGACAAACGTGTCGTACCGGGCGGTTCGTTGGTACAAGGTTTGTATTTGATGTGGTGCTGTGTCTTAAGACGGGGTTTGCTCAAGGGAGAGGACAAAGAACAGACTGGAACACACGTGCAGCTCAGCCTGGAGGCCGTGTGTAATGTTTTAACTTTATTAACTTTGTGTAATTTTTAACTCCACTCTTTAAAGCTGAGTTGAGAGTGAAGTGTGAAGTGGTTTTGTGACATCCAGACTTTTAGTTTCTCTTGTCTCTAGTCCTAGTTCTGGCTTGATTTAAGGACTAGTGGTTTAGTCCTGATTCAGTCCTGTCTTAGACCTAGTTCAGTTCTAGTTTTTCCCTGGTTTAGTTCTTTTTTTTTTCTTGGTTCAGTCCTGGTTTAATCCTGGTTCAGTCCTGATTTAGTCCTTGTTCAGTTCTGGTTTAGTCCTGGTTTAATCCTGGTTCAGACCTGGTTCAGTTCTTTCTTTTTCTTGTTCAGTCCTGGTTTAATCCTGGTTCAGTTCTGGTTTAGTCCTGGTTCAGTTCTGGTTCAGTTCTGGTTCAGTTCTGGTTCAGTTCTGGTTCAGTCCTGGTTTAGTCCTGGTTTAGTCCTGGTTTAGTCCTGGTTTAGTCCTGGTTTAGTCCTGCTTTAGTCCTGCTTCAGTCCTGGCTTAGTCCTAGTTCATTTCTAGTTTTGCCCTGGTTCTTCCCTCTTTCAGTCCTGGTTCAGTCCTGGTTCAGTCCTGGTTCAGTCCTGGTTCAGTCCTGGTTCAGTCCTGGTTCAGTCCTGGTTCAGTCCTGGTTCAGTCCTGGTTCAGTCCTGGTTCAGTCCCGTTTCATTGTTGTAGAAACGAATAGCTTGTAATTTAAGAGGCGTGACATTTGATGCTATAATTTACAGAACATAAAGAGTGCAGTCTTCTTGCCTCCTGTAATTCTAGTTTTTGGGCATTTTTTCCTCACTAAAATAGACCACTTTTCAGAATTTTCTTTATATTTCTCTTTTTTCTGCGCGGTGCACAGGTGTGAACGAGCTGCTCACTGTTGACTGTATCTACTGCAGTGTTTTGTGCGTGTTAATGCTCTGCTGCTGTTGAATACATGGCGTGATTGTGAGCTGAAAGCCTCTATTAAACTGTCTTATAATAGACAATAGAGAAAGCCGCACTGACGCACAACTGTGACTTCCACACTAATGTAGAGCACACACACTGATGTCACACGGCCACATGGGGGAAAAAGTGAAGTATTGGTTTTCAGGGGCTTTACTAAAAACATCCAAAAGGGAAATCCACAAATGTTCTCTAGGCTTTTTAAAATTCTGATCTCTGTGTGGAGTTTGCATATTCTCCCTGTGCTACTGTGGCAGAGTGGTTATCCATTCTCCTCCTGTCACTGCAGAGGTTCTGGCTTGTGACAAACTAATAATAAGAAGAATATGATGATGATGATGATGATGATGATGATGCAAACCACACGATTTTGCATTCAAAAGTTCACATTGGTTATTTGACTGTTCATGACTCAAAGCCGACAAGTGAAAGTGAAAGAGGAAACTGAGTCATGGTGATATTAAAAGTAATAATATTAATAGTTAATCCCAGGGGCTTTGAGCAGCTCTGTTTTATTTCAAGTGTGAACATTTATTCAGACTAAATATGGTGACTACAGAGCAGCCTGACTGTGCAGGAGAGTCTGGGACCAGTCCGTTGCTGCCCAATCACAGCGGTTGATTTGAATCACATGTTTCAAAGTTTTAAATGAGTGTTTTAAATGTTTCTTGTGAAAGATGCCATGATTCGTTTTGTTACCCCTGTGATCCCTGATTTCCTCCAATCAAGGAAGTCGGGGATATCAGACCCCACCAGGTTTAAACCCGCACTGAACTGAGTCGAAACCAGGAAAGAACCAGAGTCTCCTGCATCCTGATGCTTGGTTCGACTTGTGAACTTTGTTCTGTGAAGTGCTTTTCTACCTAAAAGTGTCTTGCTCAAGGACGCAGTGACCATATTCATCTAAGACTGCAGGAATCGCACCTCGAGCCTGTGGGACAGTGGATCTGACCTCTCTATATGCTGTTTGTGCAGGAGACAGGAGTCCCTCGTCTGAGCGGGCTGGTGTCCAGAGATTTCCCTACTGGTCAGATGAGGTGGTACGTGGACGCAGACACGAGGATTTCTCTGGAGGAGGGGACTCTGAACCTGCAGCTGCCCACAGTGACCTGCTCAGACCAGGCAGTGTACCAGTGTTACCTGGCTGCACCTGTGGGCGAACAGAACAGAGAGGGACGTGTCCGCCTCAGTGTCACAGGTAAATACTCTACATTTAAACTTAAAGAGGAGGTATTATGCTTCTATAGTTTCACTTTATGTTCTGAGACTTTCTCCCTTTGCCTGCTTCTAGAGTCAGTCCCCCCGTGCATTTCTCTAATGAAACTACTGTACATCACATCAGGCTGTCAGCTGTAGTTTACAGTTTGTATCATGAGAAGTAGAACAGCGAGTCCATAAGTACATTTAAGTACATGATCGTGTTCTAATGTGAGGAGCAGGAGTACAGCTCAGTGTAAGGTACTATCCTCAGTACTAGCTCATAATATGTTCAGAGCGAATCACTACTGTTGTGTTGACACCACCTTTGAGGTTCCATGAACCTCAGGCTTTTACTTGGAAAACTTTTTTTTTTTTTCAAAACACGGACTCATTTGACTTTATGCAGATACAAACCCAAACTGAACATGCACACACCAGATGCTCAGGACGCTGTTACTACGGCTCCAGTCCTCTGGCTGTTTAATCCATTAATCGCAGATGGAGTCTTAACCAAAAGTGTGATGTGTGTATCGACTTGTTTCATTTGGATGATCAGGACTTGTGTGGGAGAAATGAGAGAGTGAGCTGAAAAGATGGTAGATTTTGGTAGTCAGATGTAAACAAGATTAAAGTTGTGATTCACAGGTTTAATCTGTGTATATGTAAATACACTATTTCCTAATCCTTTTTGCTGCATAAATAGTAGTATTTGCATGTGCTCCCCCTGCAGGTGTGGTCTTGTGAGTGCAGTTTGTGTCAGATACTCAGATACAGAAAAGAGTTCTGAGAGCTTTTCCCACGTCCCTTTTTTAATCGCCCAATCGATCTGAAGCACATGTCTTTAGACCAACAAGAATTTCTTTAGTCAAATTCAGGCCCTGCTGTTCCAGCCCTGTCAAAGTGCTCAGACAGAGTGTGCGTGACTCTGGAGGTTGTAGCAGCCTCTTGTTATGGCCTTGGTTCTAAGTGAGTCTTATATTTGGTGCGTCCTTTATCAGACAAAAACATGATCAGAAACAAACTTAGACATTCATTGTTTCTAAATACACAAATAACAAAAGCAGTATTGAAAACCATTTGGGTTTCTTGTGAGTTCACATGACAAAAAATTCAACTTTCCACTGAAACAGAAACTTGCACCTGCAGTGTGAGAGTAGTGTGGGCATAGCCTGTATATATAAATGTACTTAGCTAACCTGCTTCAGATGCTGCTCTCCCTGTGTGTCAGGTGTGATCGGTGAATGCTGTTGTTGTGTCCTGGGGCAAGACACTTAACACACCTCATCCCCAGTGTCTTGTTCCTTGATTTAAAGCACTGCCTTCAAAAACACTATAAAATTCCTGTAAACTTCCTGTATTTATCCACGTTTTTTTTTTTTTTTTTTCCCAACTTTTCTTCACCAGTTGCTTCTTGTTTGCTGTAAAAACATGTATCATCCCAACAAATGTTCAAAACTGCTCACACCGCACATTAAGTCAGTGTTTCCCCCTCTGTTCCAGGCTGCCCCACAGAAGAGCCTACACGTGGGCCTCCTGTGGTCCCTGTGCCCACTGGGAGCCCCTCACAGCTGCTGGTCCTGGTAGCCAGTCTGCTCCTGTTCACGGTTCTGGGTTTAGCTCTGACTTTAGTGAGTATTTTTACACCTTCACGCCAGAGACACAGACTATAGTGTTGTCCACGATACTATAAGTTAAAACTTTACTCAATATCGATGATAATAACACTCTTTATTTAGACAATAGAATGTGATTTTTAACAATAAATGGAATTGTAATCATTTCTTTTCTATCAGCATGTGGCCTTATATCTGTGTAATCCCTCAGTCATCAACATAGTCTGTATAAAGAAGTCTATGTGCTCTTATACTTGTTCTGATACAGCTCAAGATCATTCTAAAACTTTCCAGGAAAGGCTCATTTCTGTTCTGTCAATGGAACTTTTTGTATCAATACCTGCAAAAAATTAGTATCTACTTTCAATACTTAGTTTTAATATTGATTTCTATGCTTTTGCCAACTGAATCAAAGCCACAGTGAGTTCATGTAGGTGTAAATAAAATGTTATTAAAAATCAAACATGCACGAATCACTCCAAAGACAAATTCAAAAGGTCAATGAGAAGGAACCATCTATAACATGGTTAAAAGCCCTGAAAAGTCCGTTTTGCAGAATAGGTCAGTTTTTAAATACATTAAATACACCTGTCCCTTATTGACGTGTTGTGTCTGTCCACAGTTCTGCCTGAAGAAAAACCAGTGGTACAACCCAAAGAAGAGCATAGAGCACCCTTTGTACCCGGACCTGTCCCCTCCTCTGGAAAAACACAAACTCATTTTCACAAACTTCACTTTCCCGCCAAATTCAAAAATGTGCAGCTCAAAATTCATCACCGTTTAAATCCACAATGTTTGGAAATGAGAGCTTTTGATTTGTACCATCTGCATGGTTCCACGCTGGATATACAAAAATATAACAACAGACCACTGATCACTACAACAACATGCTCTGCAAACCTCCATGAAAATGTCCTACTTTTACTTTGGATTCTTTTACTGAATCAGTGTCAAATCTGTGTCGTTGGTGTTAAGAATATTAATAGGTTTCTATTTTACTTAAAGGTTCTAAAATGTTTTAAGGATAAATTTAGGTAACATTGAGCTCACTCCCTGTTCTGGGGAGCTGAACTTTTCTTCATTGTAATCCGTGCTTCTTTATTTTCATGTGTATTCTCTTGAATTTAAGTTTTTATTTAATGTTTAATGTTTTATTTGTGGCAGCTATACACCTTTTAACTTTAATTTGTTTAACTTCAACAAATCACACAATGCACCTTTACTCCAGATGATATAAGGCAGCTTTATTTTCATGGAACTGATCTTGTTGTGGAAGGCTTTGGACAGAGGTCTTTAAAATGTCACCTCAGAGGAAACAAAGCACAACTAGTCTACTCAGATGTACATGTATGTATGAATATATGCAGGTGTTGACGTTTTCATACTTTTGGAAAAAAAACAAAAAAAGTTGAACCCATGAACGATGCTTAGTGGAGGGTTTAACCTGCAGAACACACAGCTCCAAGTTGTTTAATCTGCTGTTACCATGGCTACAAAGTGAAATCTGTTGACTGTCTGAAACAGGAACAAAGCAGTGATACAGAAGGTAATTTAACTGTCCCAGACATTTTCTACAATAGGAACTCGCGGCAATTGGTCACTGAAATTTTCATCTTACTGTAATATGTTTTTAAATAGTTCATTTCGTTAGACTTTTGCCTTTAAAAGTAAATTTTGCTGCTAGATGCTGAAAACTAGACCAATGTCACTGTGTGTACTTCTACTTCTCACATAAAAAGTTTAAAAACTTTAAGAGTTTTTGAAATGATTTGAGAATTGTGATTACTGTTTGTTCTAATAAACATTTTTGATTTGACATTAGACTTATTTATACACATAGGCTCCAGCTGAAATAAAAGACGACTTCTTGACTACTACTATCTTTAACAATGAAATCTGCTGCTACTACTACTGAAGTCCCTTTGGCTTTGCTCCGGTTATCGCCTCAGCCAGATTCACTGACACCTGTTGAATAAGACCCAAATGATTTGATGTACATTACAGTGTGATCTGATTCTGCACTGTACTTGTACGTCAAGTGCGACTAAATGCCTAAACTCCTCTCACATCGACATTTTAAATCGAGCTGCTAAACTGGGCAGCACCTAGAGGACTAAAGGGGAAGGGGGTGAGGGGGGGCCCAGCAGAACAGGTGTATGTATCAGAAACATCTGGATGTAATGATGAAAGTGCAGAGGTCACAGAAGAAAGCACACACCTGGTTTGAACTCAGTTGCCAAAAAGGGACTATGAACAGTAGAAAATGTTATTCAAACACTTTTAAAAAAAAGTTAATTTGGTGCCTAGTTCCACTTGAATATGCTCATTTCAAGTGTAAAGATTGAAAATAGCTGCAGTTTTTGTTGCTTTTCCTTTTATAATTTGAGAAAAACACAACCACTGTTCAGAATGTATACTCTAGAACTATATTGTAACTCATGAATGTTTAAACATAACTAAAGTGGACTGTCCAGAGTTTGGTACAGTGCACCTATAGACAGTGGTGTGGTGTTTTTAGTTTCTCTGCAGTCAGAGTATTTAGGTGAACTAGAATTATTTTATAAGAGTACAGGGAAATGTTTTTCAACTGTGAACATTTGAAAAAGTTATGTATGTATTTAACTATCAGCAATAGAGCTCCCCCTGCAGCTCCCTTATGAGAATACACTGTCAGGGAACAGACTTTCTTTCATCTTATTTTATTGAAATAAGGCAGTATAATCACATTAAAAATATGATAGTCAAATATGTGACACATCTTCACACACACACAAATATATACATATATACATACAGACAACAACGATAATAATAAATATAGCCACAAGCAGAAATGATTGCACTAACCCTACTAACCCTAAGCTTAACCCTAACCCTGAGTTTTTAATGACCATGTCACAAATGTGGATACCAAATTTTGTAAATCTATGACAAATAAAACCATATTTTTCCATACAAATTTTCTAGGGGGCAGTATTGCACCCACTTTACTTGCAACAGTCAGTTCAGGGCTGGGTCGTGAACCCACAATTAAAATGAGTGAAATTGGCGGAAGTTTGTGCGATTTGACAATTTTACCAATGGAATAACACGGGGAGTTTATGTCATCGCTATGGCAACACCATACAAAATATGACATGGTTGCCTCTGACTGGCAGACAGAAAAATTTTCCACTTTTTTGGCCAACAAACTACGCATTTTCGGAAAGCTCTGGTCACTATGGGCGATTTACGTCGCACCATTTCACTTTTCGGCCACTAGTAGCATCACTTTGCGATACTAATAGGCCCTTCGCCATGTCTTTATTTACAGTGATTTACCTGCTCCTTAACTTGTCAGCAGCAAAGATTTTTTGTTTTGTTTTTTGGGGGCAAAAAAAATAACCTAGTACATTTTTTCCACCATTGCCATTAATGTTTGATTTAGAATCAAAGTTTCCCTTTGCCAATTTCACAGTAGCCAAATGAGTTGAGTGGATGCAATAAGCCAAGCACAGGTTCTGAAAAAATACTGAATTGAAATTTGCACAAGGACATACAAACACAAATGTGAACAAAGATCAAAACAATGTTTCCTTTTTTTTTGCGTGGACCACACGTCTCCGTGGCCCTTTTGCTGAATTGCCACATGTCATTCTATATAAAGTCCCTGCACTCTCAGGCATCTGTTTTGTGTAAATAAGACCAGGACCTCTCTCAGTGTAATGTGTTTCATCAGTATACACACTCTCCCATCACTGACGGCCATGAAAACCATACTGTTGAAATTACAGCGAAAACTTGATTACAATGGCTTGAAAAGTTAGCTGCTTTGTATAAAAATAAAGCTTTAAAAGGCACTTTTGTCACAGGTTATTTAGACTGCGCACATGCAGTACTTCACTAATGGCACGAGAAGAATATCAGAGCATGAAGCTGCAACATGATTGGAACGCCACTTGTTCAGTTCGGCATTTGATTGTCTCTTGGCAGTGGAACAGGCGGGATATTTACTGACACTCGCCATATTGCTGTTATACATTTCAATGGATGAAAGGTGAGAGATTTTCATGCCTGGCAGTGAGGAAGTGTACAAACTGAGACAATGAAGCAGCCAGAAAATAAATAAATTAATATCTAGAATAAAATAATAGTAACCAGGGAACAGCCTGAGATGTAACTTGGAACAAATGAGCAACAAAAAAAGTAATCAGTAAAATCTTAAAATCAGCTCTAAAACATACAGGCAGCCAGGGAAGGGAAGCTAAAACCAGGGTGATGTGTTGTTGATGTCAAACAGATACATCTGGATGTTTTGTCTTACATGATTACTGTTTTAAGGAACTAAATGCAAGTTTCACTCCCTTCACTCCTATCAGTTGGTAACGGCAGATACTTAAAGCACTAGCATTGGAACTGAAAGGCATGATTGGTCCTTAACGTCGCTTCAAGATTGTTTTAAAACTATTCAGTAGTTTGTCAAATCATTCAAGGCAATTTCATCAAACACAAGTGTCATCGTGTGCAGTGGGCCTGGAGTCATCATCGTTGTCCTGCTCCACACCTTTGTACCGCATGGACTTCACCTTGAGACACACAATGACAACGACTGGCAACAGGCAGACGAGGACAACTGAAAAAAAAGAATGAAACAACATTAAATATTTTGTCAACAAAAGACATGTCCTGCCCATCAACTAGTGGACTAAAGAGAGGGCGTGGCAAAAGCTCTCAAAATGATTCTCTATGTATCTGACCACAGACTGTATAAAGAAGTGGCCTATGGGAGAGACACGTCACTCACAGCGTTCAGCTCCAGTCAAATGAAGCTCATGAGGCTGGCAGTTATACGGGCGTATTTGGAGCCAGTTCCATATTAGGAATAGGAATTGATTTAGGGAGAAAATAGCCCAATATAAACTCCAGGATCATGTGGAGAGGGTTACTACGATGAAAGAGCAGCAGTTACAGAGAGAGGGGCGGTGTTTTCTCAATACGATGTGAATTAGGGCCGAAGCCAATGAAAAAAGGACTAGGAAAACAATGTATTTATATAAAGACAGATTAAATGTGTGTGTTGGAGCGTTTTGTCTTTGCTCTGTTAAAGGAGGGAGGGGCAGAATCCTGTGAGTTTGCCGTTTGCTTTGTCGTGTGGGATCACAGGTGAGGTAGGCTTGTGGGCGGAGCCTTGCACAATATCTTATAGCTAACTGCAAGGAGGGCCCAGGAGAGTTGGCTAAAATACTCAAACAGGCATAGATGGCGTCTAAAACCTCTTCTGGCAGACTTTTGATAAGGTAACAATGTTAAAACATGGTAGAAAGTGCAGTAAAATCAATTATGCATAAAACCTAACTAAATTGGCTTAAGCTGATTTTCCAGACATATCACCACTACATTATGAGTTTAATCTGCCTTTTTACATATAAATACCAACAAATATAATTCTTCAGCACACTCACTTCTCCAGTCTGCTGCTGTCCCATAGAAACCAGCAGAATCAAAATCAAATGATTAGTCAACAAATACACATTTTGATCGACTAAGACTCTATTGATTAATCAATAGCCATCTCCATTCAAACACAGCTCATTATTGGTTTGTTTTGAGTTTACTGCAGTAAATTAGGGTTTTAAAAAATTGATATTAATACCAAGATACTAGCAGATACTAAAAGCAGGAATCTGTACTGAAAATAATTATAGGACAAATTTTAACTTTTCCTACAAAGAATCTGAATGGAAGAATAGTACTGATTAGCTGTACAAGACCATGGCAATGTTAAAAAATATAAATACAAAAATTTCAAACTCAGCACTAAAGAATAGACTCAATACAGATTCTGATCCCCAAAAATAATAATGTCTATAAAGAGCTTTTAAAATGATTGTCATTTTCAACATAAAATTATTTTTTATTACACTAGTTCTGATTAAACCGTAGCCCGTATATATAAATGGACAGAGCTAACACGCTAGCCACCGCGTTCCAAACAGGAAGTGCGCCAGGCAGCTCTTCCGGCTCATTCTGACTCCCATTGACTTCCATTGAGATGTTGTGGCTCCTCTCTCTGTACCTGCTGCTGTGAACCTCCTCATTTTGGTCTTAAATGTTCATATTCATCTGCTCTATATGATCTAGAATTTTTCATTTCATTATTTTGGCCCTAAATCAAGATATGAACATAAATAACGGACCAATCAGACGCCTTCGTTCCCTGAGGTCGCTCCTGCTAGTGTTAGCAACATGTTTGATTGACAGCTAGTGCGTTTTGTTGCCAAGTAACCCCCCTTCCTGCTTTCCGGTGAAAAGGACAGGCACACTTAAGGCAGAAGTATACTTCAGCTTATACTTCTGTGTTCTGCGTCGACTCAACGCGCACTGCCGCCGTCGTTTTTGATTTATGGATCTGCGTCAAGGTCTGTGCACCGCAAAGTAATTCACTGCCAAAACGCTAGGGGGAGACGATATCTGTCCATTCATATATACCGTCTGTGTGTATGACCCGCAGACGTATAATCTCTGTAAAAGTTTAACATGAACCATCTCTAACGCGACAAAAGCACAGAACAGACTCACCATTAGTACAATATGACTCACAGAAAGAACACTCATATTCCACTGAGTCGTGTCCTTTTTAAGTCCAAGAGAAGCTGACCGCGTACCAGGAGCGAGCTGTTTTATGAGCGCTTAGTTTATGTAAGTGTTAGCCATGCAGTTTTAAGTTTCGTTTCTGTAAAACACATATGCGCAAAGCTGCATTAAACACATTATTTCTCAATGTATACTGAAAGAAAAGCCGACAGGAAATGTCTAGAGAGCGGTGGTACAGGACCA